ATATATATATATATATATATATATATATATATATATATATATATATATATAAATATAAAATGTACTGAATTATATTAAAAATTGGTGAAAAAGGAACAGAGAAATCATCTTCACCTATTAACAACCCGCCTGTCATCGTTCCATCAGTAACCATCCTAGTACTACCAGCAAATGGTCCTATAAAAGGACAGCAAAAGGGAAGGAGACGAAGAAAAGAGAACTAGTTCTTACCAGAATCTAATGAGAGGGGCAAGGCTTCGTCAAACCAGCAGCAGAGATTACTTAGCTCTTCCTCTCGGGGATATCATTCTTCCCGCTCTTGTTGCCCATTGTGGTGGCCTGCGAATATAAGAAAGTCCCGAAGATGGCGATAGCAGACCCCAAGGCGTTCAATGGCCTAATGGGATTCCTGAAGGCCAAAACGGAGGCCACAATCACCACGACTCGCTTCATGGTGTTGCCGACAGAGAAGGTCAAGGGGCTGATTTCGTCGAGCGCCTGGTACGACGACTGGTTGTAGAGATGGTAAAAGATCCCGGACAAGAGCACCCAAAAGTAGAAGGTCCACGGGGTGGGAACCGCCACCAAGGCCCTGCGGAAGCCCTCCACCCACTGGGAGCCCTCGACGAAGATGGCGACGGGGAAGAGGTAGAGAAGGGAGACGATGCTGATCCAGCCGTAGAGGTTGAGACCGTTGACGTGCGTGAAGTCCTGCAGGCTCTTCTTGGAGTAGATGTTTCGGAACACGAAGCCGACGTTGCTGATGAGGGCGCCCCAGAGGCCCTGGGCGTCGAAGGAGACCTCGGTGACTGCGGCCAGGGAGCACCCGGCGACGATGGGGAGGACGGAGAGCCAAACCGGGAGGGGGTAGAGGCGGACGCCGAGGAGGGCAGAGAAGAGGACGGAGAAGACGGGCTCGGAGGCCTTGATAACGTGAGTGAAGGAGACGGCGACTTTGGAGAAGGAGACGCAGGCGGAGATGTGGCCGACGGTGTGGAACAGGGCGGGGCCGAGGAGGGCGAGGAAGAAGCGGCGGCCGAGAGGGCGGGGAAAGGGCTGGAGGCCGGAGAGCCAGAGGGCGGACATCCAGAGGGAGCCGGCAAGGAGCTGGAAGGAGGCGAGGAGCCAGGGGTAAGGGAAGACGTTGAGCACCTTCTTGTTGTAGATGTTGAACACCACGTTTTGGAAGTACCAGAAGCCGAACACTATGGCCAGATTCAGTCTCGGATTGCTCTTCTTCTTGACACCGTCGCGGCTGCTCCTATCATGAGAGCTGGCGTCTTCCGATCCTCCTCCCGTTGGATCTTGCGACTGAGGAGCAGGTGAGGCATTCGGATCTCCATCCGGATCAGGGACGCCGGCGGCGGCGGCGGCTGCGGCAGCGACGGGCCTGAGACCTGCGGAGATTCTTTTGAGGCCGATCTGGAGGACGGATTGACGCACGGAGAAGCACGAGAAGGGGATTGTTTTACTTGGGAGGCCACAAATACTAGCTGCGCGGAATCTAATGGCGGCTACGTGCCTCAGGTGGTGGGTTTCTGTGTGGTAACGGTAGGAAGAAGGAAGAGGCGATAACGATGGCGGAAGCAGAGCATGTACGGAGGAGATCATGGCGGTCGCTCGCTTCTCTCTTTACCTTTGGCGTCTGCAATGTGTCCCTCTACCTCCCTTGGCCTTTGCTCTGCTTCCGTCTCGATCGAAGTGAACCGCCGGGAGAACTCGGCCAGATATTATTGGGATTAGATGGGGAAACGGCCACTCGTAAAAATCACCGGGCCGCGGTGGCTCCCGTAGAGACGAAAGAGATTACTGATGTATACAGACACGGCACAGCGTTTGACATCACTAACATTTGATGGCTCATCGGACGGTCAGCAACTGCTGGGGACCAGTATCCGGACAGACCACAAACACAAGTGTACCGGAAGTAGATGAGCCATCAAAGTTTACTTAACGATGGGCTAACAAAGTTTACCTTATGCGTTAGTCTTCGAGTCTGCGGAGTGGCCGGCATCACATCGGAGATAAAAGCGTCTATACCCCCAAAGCTAGCTGCGTATAACATATCGAATCATTATAATGTTTTGTTTTGTCTTCACCACTTATCATCATCTGGTTGGGCCCAACCAAGTCCAACTAACCCCAAAACGAACATCGATTGTAGTCAGTTATACTGTTAGTTTACGAATTCAAATTGGAAATTCAAATCCTTCGATTACGAGCCCGCTCATATGCGACGTATAAATATCTACCGCGACGGTTTGGTTACCATTCCCCTCCGCGGGAGGAACGCGCGCCTCGTGTCGATGAGGAAGAGAGCGGCATCAGCATCGGCGGCAGCCAAATCTGTGGCGAAGGGTAAGTCGACGGGGCACGACGCCTTCTTCACTTCGCCCGATCCTTCCTCCAAACCCTACCATTTCGATCTCCCGTCGTTCCCTACTGCAACTGCCGCCTCCTCCTCCCTAAACACCACCCCTGCCTCCTACTTGCGCCACCCCCCATCACCTCCCCCTTCCGCCAAGGACAAGACCACCACCCTAGCCACCATCTCCGATCTTAAGGCCTTGGCCTCCTCCCGCATCGACTCCCTCAAGCGACACCTTGACCTATGTCGCTCCGACATCCTCAGGGACTTCGACGCTTCCAACACTCGCCTCTCCAAACGCTTCAAGGTACGAATCTTGTTACCTAGCTTTTCTTCTTTTGTCTAGATTGTCCGTGCTGGTATCATATGATTTAGTACTGGTTCTATCTTTTTCTGGCCCCTGGTGTATTTAGAATGAGATTGATCTTTAGGGATTGCATGTTTCTTGATCTTGCCATTGATTACTGTCTAATTATCTTTAGGTTGCCCTGTTCTGTCGATGAACTGTCTGGATCTCATGCAAATAGGAGATTCCTCTGTGATATCTTTGTTCATTTCTTCTGTGGCTGACGATAGTGTGGATCAGACACTGTTGTTGGTGTCAGCGATACGTGATTTGGGAATTAATGAAATATGTACGAGAGGAATTTGTTTTAAATATTAATATTCCAATGGTTTTATACTCACCTATGGGTGATGCATGATCTCTCGTTGTTATTGTAAGTTCATTTTCCTTTACCTGACTAAACTTGCATAATGTTATTGTCCTTATTTTCTAGTATAGATAGTCTAGTTTGGTCCGGTATCCTATGGTTGATGCTATTGATGATCACTCTCTGGTTCTTCCGTGTATCTACATGTTGAGTCGGATATTCTTGTCTTTCTTACTTGAATCCTGATGTGGTACCACGATATTTGTGTTTGGAGACATATGTTTGTTGGTCTTGCTATTTTCTTAGTCTAATATTTTCATGTCACCCTCTACCAATGTTTTTCTGCCTAGACATTGTGTATCTGAAGGGTGATTCTTGTGGTTCCTCTGCTATTTTTATATATGGCATATCTGGCCATATAGACTGCCGATGGCATCAGTAGTGAGTGGGTTTTCTAGACATTCCAGAATGATCAGTAGAAGAACTATTTGTGAATCTAGATTTTCCAGTAAGTTTATCATGATCTACAGGTGTTTCCTGAAGACCTTAGTTTGTCGTAGCTGTAAAAGCTAGTTCAAACACAATCATAATTTGTGGAAATATTTTAAATGGAATGACAATTCTTTTATCTTGAACCAAATTCTTGTCTTCATTGTTTCGTATAAAGAGATTTAATATGTACACTTTCTTTATTCTTAATGAAGGAAAAATATCTCAATAAGATTTAGTTGGACTGCCACTTATCCAAAAACTTAAGCTTATAAGAAAGGGCCCAACTTATAAACTCTAATGTCTGTCTCATGTCCAAGATGACTCGACACACAAATCTAAGTGTAAGGGTGATTAAACAATGGGTGAATTAAAAGGGATGGAGCTAGTGTTCATACTCATGCTTCCACTGGATCCTTGATAAAATTTTAGTTGAGTTACTGCTTATCCTGAATTCTTAAGATTGCAGGAAATTTCCCTACCTATCTATGGACCCTTAACAAAATCTGAATCTACAGACTCTTATGTTTTAAGCTTTTTTGCCAAGCTATAGCTTGATTAAGTCAGGTAACATGCTGTCTCTGTAGTTTAGACATATAAGTGCTTGCAGAATCCTTTATTTAGTCTCGTCCTTCAAGCTTAAGTTTAGAAGAAAGATTAGACACAAGTAACAGGCACAAAAATTCTCTGGATTACATGACACATTGCAATTTTGTACTGGAATTGATCCTTTACTGTTTAGGTGAGCTACTGTTTTACAGGATCTCACTAGAAATTCATGTGATAATATTTTTCTGAAGCCATTTTTTATAGATATAATCACTTCTTTCAATACTCTAAATTTATTCACTTTATAGTGACATTTTGAAGGATGTTTTGAGCTTCAAACTTTTAGTAACTAAATTGATACTTGTCTCTAGATAATTACATTCAGACAAGAAACAATGTTTTAGTGGAAATTCTTTATCCCTTTCTAATTTGTAGACTGTATTAGCTTCTTAGAATTATTTGGATTCGCATGATATCTTAATTATGTATTTGTTCTTATTGCTCTCTCTCTGTAGATCCAAACAAAAGCTTGCCTGCAATTAACAGAGGAGGCAGAAAAGGACTATAAGAAGATTGCTGATAGGATTAGTGAACATACAGAAATAATAAAGGTGCCATGATGTCCTCTCAGCTCTTTCATCATTTCTCCTTCCCAACATAAGTATCTTGATCTAATGTTGTTTTCTCAGGCCTCATATGCAGAAGTTATCAGCGAAGCTCATTCCACAGCCTCTCGTGGTACATAATAGTTCCTAATGCCAAAATTTTGGTCTAGTTTGCTCTTCTTTTTGTAAGGAGGATTGGAAATTGCACAATAAATTTGATGCTAAAAACAATCAGATATGTAAATATTGGCTCATCGTCAGAGTTAGCAGTGCTTAATTATTGAGGAGGAATTACATTAATTAGAATGTCATGTCTTAGTTATTTTGCAGCACTGAATTTGTAAGATATATAGCTTTTGACCAGTTCAACGTCGTTGGTAGGTTAGCAAAGAGAAACCCACATGCTGAATTTTTTTCAATTTAAATCCGATCAAAGAAGGTACAATTAATAGCAAGAAACAAGATCACGTGAACATGTCAATTTGCATCAGTTTGAGTGCTTCATCTTATTTTCTGTTGCTCTTATTTTCCATCTTTTCTATGACTTTGTCAGTTTGTAAGGTTTCCATCCCTGAGCTGATACAATCGACGGAGAAAGCTATTGAAGGATTGCGTAGTCGTTATAAGATTCCAGCAACTCCAATTTAATCAAATCTCAAAGTTTGCTTTGAGATTTTTCTGGGTATGCGCAGCTATTTACTGTTTGCTTGTTCTCAAAATGATATAGAATCAAGAATTACTAATTATAGCTTCGTGATGACGAATAGTTCAAGTTCTTTTCGGTCTAAATTTCTTGTATTGCCAATCACTACTACATTGCCAAGTTCTCCCTAAGATCACAAACTTTTATGCCTCTTATATGTTTACTGTTTACTTGTTCTCGAAGCGACTTACCTATTCTGTTTTCTTCCCAGACCCATTTGTCGCTTTACTCAGTTCCACATGCTAGCATACTTCCACATCAATCTTTACCGACACAATGTGTATATTTCAGGTTGCATTCTCAATCGCTGGATGGTTTGAAGGCCACTTTATGATTCGTGTGAATAAAAGATTTCAAAACCACTAACAGAGAAGTGTAATCACTGTTACGTGTAGCAGCTAGGTTTCTAGCTTGAGACTACTCTATGTTACACACGATCAGTAATCTTGTCATCCTTTGTTTTGGCACCAGAATGATTGATGCCTTATCTCAGTTGTTTCGACTGAAATCCCTCAAGGGTTCAGATTTGACATTTCAGCAGATTTAATAGTTAGACACTTTAAATATCTATCGATATGTAATTATATATTACTTCACATACTTGGATTTTATTAACAACGTGATTATTGTATTTAAAAAATTTATATTAAGATATTTATAATTTTAAAAATAAAATAAATAATTTTATTTGTTCTAACGTTATTAGCTGTATTGATTAAAAAAGCATAACACGTGATATCGTGTGTTAGATTGATAAAAAAAATAATTTTAATATTTTTTTGTTTTTAATGTATAAAATATTAAAAAAAAAATTATTAGAAAAATTATTGAAAATAAAAAGAATATTAAAATTATCTTTTTGTTCGATGATGTCATATGTTATATTTTTCGTCAATACAATTAATGACATTAGGATAAATAAATTTATTTATTTTATTTTTAAAATTATATAAATTTTAATATAAAAAATAATACTAATATGATCCAAATACAAAACTAATATGTAAGTCGCCCTATGAGCCACTCCACACAAGCCACCAAGTTCAGTCAGACAGTAAGATACAAGAAAAAAAACGTATTTGTTTAACTTAATTGCTATTAAAAATTCGATAATACCGAATGGATTTTCCATTTTAATTACTGTTATAACTTGTCTGTTTTAATGATAATTTGCCTGTCGGATAAGGACACTTTGACAAGTATCGATTGATTGACGTCATATAGAGGGTTAGGTTGGGGAATCAAAGAGGCGAACTGGGCTGCTCCGGCCCACCCGTGTGTGCGTCCATCATGCTTCCAAAATAGTGCAGGGTTTTTGAGTGGCGTCTTCAAGATCCGTGCCTACTGTGCGTCAAGAGCTGGGCTAACCCCTTCTGTCTCGTTCCCCGGCGTCGCATGCGGTCAACAGCAGCGGAAGAAGAGAAGAGCAAATGCTGGGTGGCGTCTCGAGGCGTTGGGTCGCTTCCGCGGTTCGATCCGCCGGCGCTGGTTACCGCCGGATCCTTGCGCCGGTCTGCAGTTCCACCTCCTCGCCCCCTTCGTCACCATCCTTCGTCCTCCGTCCCCCGGTGAGAAAATATATGTTTTCTAAGACAGAACATACACTTTCCCTCTCTCTCTCTCTGCCTCTTTTTTCTGTTCTTCGTCTTCTGTATTTTCCCATTTAAATTTCTTTCCACTAGTAAATTAATGGGTGTAGTTTATCCTGATGATGATGCACAACCTTGTACTTGTCGAACTACGATGGGGCACGTACACAAGATATAGAATGTTGTGATTTATGCTTTACCTTCCTACGAGTGTCTTTACTGCACTCGGACGAGCCATAGTGCCTGCGAGTTGCTTGTGGAAATGGTGATGTAAACTTGGATGTTTTAGGGTGGCAAAAGAACAGATGAATCGGTCTGAACTGCTCTTTCAATTTTATCCTTAGGCAGAGAAAAGAAGTAAGAGGTCTAATAGAAAATGCAATCTTGAGCAAGCCACATCTGAATCCCTTGGTTTGGTCCTGATCTGATTAGATCTACTCCGAAAGAGTCAAATAATAAGGTACGTAAAAAAAGGCATATATTTTCTTTCATCTTTCATGGTTGCTATTGTGAATCTGTGATGCCAGTTCCAGTGACAGCAGGCAGTCTAGGCTGCGATGACTGAACATAAGAACTGATATATAGGCAATAGTATTTGAGAAAAAGAGAATATAATGCAGCAAAATTTAAGGATAGAAGAATAGGAGTATTGAACACAACATCAAAAGATTAAGAAAAAAGGAGAAGATGTGGAAAAAACCAACATAGAGTGACCTTAGGCCTTGTCAAAAAAATTGTGGAACAGTGGTAAACTACTTTTAAGAAAATAGAAAGAACTTATTCACACTTAATAATGAGTAAGTAGAAAATTATCTGGAGAAATGCCAGAGCTCAATCACATAGAACAGCCTCTAAACCACCCATCTATGCTCTTAAGTTGATTCAGAAGTACTACACCTACAGTTTTTTTCCTCTTGCACCTTCACATTCCAACAAGTGATTATATTTCTGGGATTAATGATGGATGTCTTTCAGGGGTGATGGTTCCTGTTTATACAATTGTATAATAGATATATACAAGAAATGCACTCATAGGCCTTATGCTTAATTGTCATTATTTTGTTGAATTATCACAAGATTTAGGAGTTCAAATTTCAGATATTTGATTTATTATTTTGTTATGTAGGCAAACAAGCTTGACGCTCATGGGGAGTTGATAATAACTCATAATGGAATATTCAAGCCTTGGATTGATGGAAATAAATATTTCTTAAGGTGCATGACAACAGTGGGCAACCCTGAGGTATCTTCTGGACAAGAGAGTTCTGTTGCCTCACCTGAAACTGACCAGCCTCATCGCATCAAATTCAAAAGGCTTGACAAAACTGCTAAGCACATAATGAATGTAAGCATAGTGCAGTAGATGCCAAATTTTTAATGATATGCCTTATCTGATAGGTGGGCACCTGGTGCACTGATAAGCGGGTACCCTGTGCACCGGGCTGCCCTTTTTATCTCTCTGATTAGTTTGCTTATGTTGTCCGTCTCAATAGTTTGAGAGATAAGTGTTGTGTTATTATGGTTATTGATATGTAGTAGTTCTTTCTGACACATGCAGATTTTAGATAAAGAAGCAGTGGATAAAATGAGAGATGAGAGAGATATTCCTGACATAAGACCTGGGTATATTATCCAGCTAAAAGTGGTATGACAGTTTTTGTGTTTTATTATAAATCTCTTCCTCTCTCTATTTTCCTTTGCGATTCATGATATCAACAGGAGGTGCCTGAAAACAAGCGTCGAATTTCAAGTATGAAAGGCATTGTCATAGCAAGGCGAAATGCAGGTCTGCATACCACATTCAGGCTGCGAAGGCTAGTATCTGGTGTTGGGGTTGAATCTGTTTTCCCATTGTAAGTTTTTTTTTTTTTTTGGGAGAGCCTTATTCTATGTTTTAGACATTGATATGTGCGATCTAAATTTGCCATATTTTCAGCTTTTATTATCTTCTGCTGATTGTTCCTCTTTAATTTATCTTTTTGATTGAATGAAATGAACATTTTCTGTTAATGTAACCTTAGTGTATAAGTTGTTGACACTATTATCATGGTCATTCAATTCTTGTTCCATCTATTGAATGGGTCAGAACATACATGTAAAGAGAGACATATTGAGTTGCTGTTTGAGTGATCATGTACTGATTTTGTGACTATCGATTATAAATCTCATGAATACTAATAACCTTCTTTTATGTCAAGTATAATGAAATAGAACTTAGAAAATAATCGAGTTTAGAAACAAACACATCTTGTCAAGAATGATATGATATCCAACATCAGAATCTGGATATCTTTTGCTTCTTTTCGCAATAAAAGAAACAATGGGAGGAATGTCAATATTTAACATTTTAATGTCTTCATCAGTTTATACATAGAAAAACACTGAGGATCTTGACAGATATTGAATACAGTGTATTGTGTGGGGTTTGTTATATGTGCAGTATTTGTCCTTGAGGATCCATTCGATGTGATTTTGCTGCATTAAAAAAACTCTGGTACTTATTGTTAGATATCCCTGTCTTAAGATTTCCAATTTGTGGACTACCAGTGTTATTTTACATTGATCAATGGACCGCTAATAAGAGGAGGTCAACATAAAAAGGTGGTCCATTTCACCAGGCTTCCCACCAATGCTGGACCTAGGGAGGTTAATGAAAACAGCCTTATCCTTGTAAGCAGGGAGGCTCTGCTTGTAACTAGAGCTCTAGATAACTAAATCACAAAGTAAAATCTTACCATGTGAATCAAGAAAATGAGATGCCCGCCAAGACAAGGTATATACTCTCTATTCTGGTGTTGTTCCTCTTGGTTTGCCCTTGTCCTTGTGGAGCAATGGTTTTTTTTTTTTTGTCAACATCATGTGAATCGACAATCAGATTGTTAATGCATGCTTGGGTATAGGATATTGGATGGTGCAATTGGTATGAAAAGTATGTTCTGTTGGGGATTTATATGTTCTTTCTTCCCATATCTTTGTATGCACCTGATTTTAACATAGGTTAAAGCAATATGATAGTAGCAGGAAGAAACCAATGTTCAGAGATATAAAAAGGCTGTACCGCACTCAAATTTGAAAAGTCCTATTTGGCACTTGCAATTAACTTCTATTCTTAATTTATTTTGAAAAATCAATATTTTTTTAATAATGTTATATGTTTATTGTTTATTTTGTCTCAAAACAAAAAAGGTCCAAATGCAGGAACCATGTTTCCATCCTTGCTCAGGATTAGGAGGCTGTTGTAGCCTTTGTCCTGTGATGTAATTTTATATTCTTTGACCTCACTATAGGGAGACTTGTATATGCTTTTGCTGTCACCTTGAAGTGTATTGGTTTTTATTCAGTTCTTACATTATGTTTGCCATTTTGTTGCAGATACTCGCCTAATATAAAGGAAATAAAAGTAGTAGACAAGAAGAAAGTGAGAAGGGCAAAGCTTTACTACCTCAGGGATAGGATGAATCCATTAAAAAAATGATGATATTTTTTGTCATCTTTTGCATTTTGTTCTTTTGACAGTTCCATGGTTCTTATAGTCATGATTCTATGAATTCCATAATCAGTAGCTGGGGAGTCTTGTCTTCCTGATGCACATTCAGGGCTGTTTCTCTTATCGATGCTGTTTCTCTCTTATCAATTCCGAAACATTATCTTGCAACTCACCTATAAACTTTTGTTTCTGATATCTATGGAATAATGCCTTTTTCATTATACAACATTTTTCTTGAGGAGGAGGCAAAGCTTTCATTCTTATAGCGTGCATTTTTAACTATTTAGTAATTTGATGTATATGGCATTAAGTGAACTGTCAAATTGACTTGTTGAAACTTCAACTGGCCTATGGTAACAGGGACTTGAAGATCAACTTCCAAGGGGTACCGGAGAGGTATGCCTCCAAACTTGTGTTCCATCTTCTTACTTTTTTAGTCTTGCGGGTGGGTGGTGCCAATTGCACTCTTTTAGATATATGGTGCAACTCAACTTGATCGTCGGTGTGATCGATCGTGCTCCTCATTCAATGCTGATCTTTGGTAAGCTAGAATGAGATCATAAACCCTTGGTTGGATCTGGGACCTCTCTTTTAGTTGTAAACCCGACTTGGTGATCATGAATTCGTTGCCTTAAGTCGGTTAGGAGCGGAGTCCACCTCCAACTAACCACGAAGCTCGGCAAGATTGCCCGCCGCCGTGTCTCGCGCACACGATCCGGCCGACTTCAAAGGACGGAGTCAGCCCCACATGACAAGGGGCACCGCTAGATTTCGTCATCCCTGACGAACGCCCCCCCCCCAACCAGTGGCCGAGTCGAATGCGTGCACTGGTTGAGTCCTAAAAGAAGGGAATCTCGTGCCTTCCACGCTCCGTAACCAACCCAAGCCGTCTGACTTTGGTACGCGGTCAACCGTGGCGGTGGGGGATGTAGCCTGGGCCTTCACGGCATCATCAAGGTGGGTGGAATCCTTACCTTCCTCCCCAAGAAAAGAAATTTCTTTTTTTTAAGTTTGTATTTGTCATCCATGACGTAACTATCTCAGGAGTCTCTCGTCTTCTTGTTGAACGATCGTTGACCACTGATTAAGGTCAAATTCGCTTCGCGTAAGCTTTACCCAAACATCATCCATCCTCTGTTGGGAAGCTCTTAGGCAGATGGAAAGCGTGGTGGTCAAACAGGGATCTATCTACATAAGGGTTTAAATTCGCTGCTGGTAGTACAACCTTCCCGTTATCGTACAACTCGTGCTTCAGCAAAGCAACGTATCCATTCTCGCCAGCTCAAATCATCTGTGGATTCTTAACCCACCCTGGATTGAGTTTGACCTTTTCTCCCTCCCTATATATACGCCACCACTCTTAGATTCCTCTCCTCACATCACGATCACAGTGCCTCCACAATAGTAATATACGCACCAGTTCGTTCCCACGAGCCATGAATCGTAGGGTGGCAGCAGCAGCGGCGCTGAGACAGCTCGGTCCACGCCTCTTCTCCACCGCAGCGATCTCCCGCTCAGCTGCCGGAGGGACCTGGGAGCCAACGTTAGGCGTTTCACCGTTGGCCCTGAGTAGGTTCCTCAGCACTGCGGCGTCGATCGGCGGGGAGGGGGCGGACGAACGAGCCGGCGCCATAGCTTCCGCCAGTACGAAGAGGGAGGAGAAGGCGTTGGCGAGCTACTGGGGGGTGGCGCCTCCGAGGCTCTTCAAGAAGGACGGCACCGAGTGGCGATGGACTTGCTTCAAGGTTGGTCATCATCTACTTCCTCTCTCTCTCTCTCTCCCTCTCACATCTGTCTTAGCGTCGACATGTTGATGAACAGCCGTGGGATACGTACTCGTCCAACGTCTCGATTGACCTGCACAAGCATCACGTCCCGACGACGTGGGGAGATAAGTGTGCTCGTTGGCTCGTCAAGTCGCTCCGCGTCCCGACCGACATCTTCTTTCAGGTAAGGAGAGAAGGCTTTGTTGCTTCTCTATGATTCATCTCCTCCGCTCCAATGTCAATACTATATGAAAGTAATGAGTTGTTGCCGCAGAGGAGGTATGGCTGCCGTGCCATGATGCTGGAGACGGTGGCGGCGGTGCCAGGGATGGTGGGCGGAATGCTGCTCCACCTCCGCTCCCTCCGCCACTTCGAGCACAGCGGTGGATGGATCAGGGCGCTGCTGGAGGAGGCGGAGAACGAGCGGATGCACCTGATGACCTTCATGGAGGTGTCGCAGCCGCGGTGGTACGAGCGGGCGCTGGTGTTCGCAGTGCAGGGCGTCTTCTTCAACGCCTACTTCGCTGCCTACCTGCTCTCCCCCAAGCTCGCCCACCGCATGGTCGGATACCTGGAGGAGGAGGCCATCCACTCCTACACCGAGTTCCTCAAGGACCTGGAGGCCGGCAAGATCGAAAACGTCCCCGCCCCCGCCATCGCCATCGACTACTGGCGCCTGCCCGCCGACGCCACGCTCAAGGACGTGGTCACCGTCGTCCGCGCCGACGAGGCGCACCACCGCGACGTCAACCACTTCGCATCTGTACGTATCAACCTTCTATCTATGTGTTGCGCGCATTAGCTCCTTCTCTTATCCGTGTTGGTGCATCGGCAGGACATCCATTACGAGGGGCATGCGCTGAGGGAGCTCCCGGCTCCGGTCGGGTACCACTGATTTGGTTGTTCATCGGAGAAGCGATGGGATACCACGGAATCTCGCGTAATCAAGTGGTAGGAATAAAGCAGCTGTGTGTGGTCGTGATAACTAACCAAGCAGAACTGTAGTGACTTGGATTGTGCATAGAAGTGCAAGTTCGATTGTTATTTACTTTTGTTTCCTTTTTGTCGGTGAAGCAGTGCCAAATTTGGTATATGTAATTTGGTCGATTAACGTACGATCGCAGCTTTGCTTATGTTTCATCACCTTTGCCTTGCCATAGCCATCCCATTCCGTTGTGCTCACGATGGCAACGACACAGAGGCGACGAACAATGGAGGTAGACACACACACACACACATCCCATTGCGTTGTGCTGGGTCATCTGTACTACCAACGAACAATGGAGGTAGACACAAAGAGAGAGACAGAGAGAGAGAGAGAGAGAGAGAGAGAGAGAGAGAGAGAGATACTGACTTTAATCGAAGAGAAGAAGCCTAGCAAACCTGTCTATGGTGTTTCTCTTCGAGAGGATAGCGAACAACGATGGAGCAGATATTTCGAGCCAAATAGACGACAGCCATTCTCCTCTTCCATGGAGAAATGCTAGTGTTAGGGTATAGCAGAGGAGATTATTATTTCCAATACCCATTTTAGCATTTATAAATTTATTTTTATTTTTTTTAATTTTTAATTATCTCTTTTATAAATATATATAAATATTTTCTTTTTTTCATTCTCCTTTTTCTTTCCTCCTCCTATTCGTCTTCTTTTCTTATGTAATCATCTTTTATTCTACTTCTTTTTTCTTCCCCCTAAAATATCAAAATATTTTTTAGGATCATCACCTCCATCCCCATCACCCTCACCTCCCCTCCCTTATTTCGACTTCAAGGCACTTGCGACAAGTTGACCTATTGGACCCTGTGGCGCCTCCCCCATCGAGATCCTCGTTTTCATCCTTTACGATGCCTTCCACTTCCTTTGGTGCACTAGCATTGCCCCACACGATCACGCGCTCATCCATGGCTTCATCGCGAGGCCTCGCAATAACAAAAAGATCAAACATAGAAAGCTAAGCCACACAAACCATGAAAAGGAAGACTAGGCTTAAAAGACCTCTCTCAATAAAACATTAACAAACATATGTAGAGAAGCCATCAACATGAAAGTTACCCAATAATGTCAGCCATCATATACTATAAATTGTAGCTAAAATTCCAACCAGTTAAAAATGAATCCCAAATTTGCCTCCATGAATTATAAACAAGCCGAGAAAAGGTTGTACCACTGAATGATTGTCCTTTTTTCTTAGTCTCTCTTTTGGTTCTCCTCTCTAATATGTTTCTTAACCTATCCTTTCCTAGTCTCATGAATGTTTAACATAATGCTTCTTTCCTGCCAACAACATCATGCTGCTGTAGAAATTTCAAACAAAAATAATCAAATGAGCACGCCAAGAACCATCCTTTTCATGGTCAAAAGCTGTACAAGATGAAGACTGGTTAGACAACTGCACGCCTCATAACCTCTCCAATGTATTAGGCATATGAACCTGTCTCCAGTGGTAAAACAAAATTCACCTTTCCGCGAATTAACTTTTATGTGTGTTCCTCACGAGAAATCTTTGCTATGCTGACTATGCATCATATATACCAAGAACACTGGCAAAACTGTCAAGATTATTCACCCTGCCAGTGCTTTGATTGTTCCACAGACAATAACAATAAGAGCAATGATATATAGCAGAAGGTGAGACTAAGTTTAGATCTGTATCATGCTTTTGGATAAGAAAAGGTAAAGAAGACAAAAGGACACACCATTCAAGTCACAAGAGATCTGCGGTGGAAGTCAGAGGAGTGTGGCTGCTGAGATATGGCCTGGCAATGGGTCTATCATGAACCAATCTATGGAATGGGACTGCTGGCGCTTGTGGGAGGCAAGTGAATGTTGGCTCTGGATGGTTGGGGGAAGTCACCATTGCCACCACAGCTGCTGGAGGAACAGAATCTGCAGGAGAGGAGGAGGAAATTTGTAAATAAAAAATATCAAATCAATTTTGAAATTCACATTTATCCCCCAGCTGAACTTTATCACCCCTGGACTTTTAGTGGATGAACTTACATGAGTGTAAATCGAGTATGCATGAACATATATGACTTATGCGTAATCAACAAAATCATCAAGGAAAGAGTCTGGTCACAGATCTGGTTGGGTGCATACTAATATAGCATATTTTGACATCCACCCCATGCGACACATAAGCTGTCACAGCAGACTCGGCGTGGCGTCCCTAAGTTGACGTGTCGCACCGAGCCAACTTAGCACCATGAGCTCGAGGCCAGCCAGCCGCCTGATGCCATCCGCCTGCACCCACTCCGCTCGAGGTTGTACGGGGTGGTGCAACCATGTACCAGGCCACACAGGAGGCGAGAAGCAACGTCGAACGAGACTGAATCGAGCAGATTAGATGACGCTTGCACCCAACGCACGGGCCGATCGTCTAAAGCATCAACGGGCATTAAATACCAGCGAACGATGACGACCGAGGATCATTAAAACTGCTACGTACGACCGCACGCAGGAACAAATATAAAAGCCACCCCCAGGAACAGCACTGGGGGTTGGACCTCATACACACACACACTCCAACTCATGCTAACTTAATCATCGGATGGGTCGACTCGGAAAGCCCTTCCGACGCCGACTTGTGTGTAGGAACCCAACGAACGACGAGAGGAGTCACCTTCAACCTCCATCCGTGGGAACCTGGGTCGCAGCCCTTCAACCTGACTCCAAGTCAATACACTCCAGCTCAGAGATCGCGCTGGTGACCTTGCGCATTGGGACAGACCAAGCCGTGCTGACACCGCAGCCACAGCATAAAGGTGTAAAACACATACTACTTGGAACGTCAATCAACATTATAACTGAGAGGTGCCTTGCATGCTATAGAAATGCAGAAGGAATTGGGCTAATCACCATGAGACAACTAAATTAGATCCAGTAGCAACATATGATTAATACAAGAAAGATACTGTAGACATCAGCCAACTGGAAGACAAAAAAGAAGTTTCTAGAAGAAACTTTGGATAGCACAGTGATTGTCATTAATCAAATGTTTCGATGATAATTTAAGATCCCTTCAGCAACTATCTCACCTTATTCTTTCAAAAACAAAAGAACATTATCAAAAGGAAGCAAGTCAGCTTTGCCCTAGAAGTGAAAATTTTCTTGCCTTGTGTCTCTTTTTAAATGAAAAGAGTTAAGAGAACTGGGTGAGAAACTGAGTACATGTTGCTATCAGCAACAAAAGTCATATTCAATCATATAAAACAATACTTCATCACAAATAATTGCAAAAGATTCAGTTCAATTACAAACCATGTGTAAATACAGCTTTTTGGAAAATCTATGATCAAACTGATGATATCTTGCTTCTGCGGCAATGATCAATACTAGAAAAAGAAAAAGGAAAAAAATCCTCCAAGATCTTTGTCTCTTGGGTGTAAATTGTTCAAGAAAGAATCATCTTGAATATAGGACTCAAATGGTTGTTTGTCTCTTGGGTGTAAATTGTTCAAGAAAGAATCATCTTGAATACAGGACTCAAATGGTTGTTTGTCTCTTGGGTGTAAATTGTTCAAGAAAGAATCATCTTGAATACAGGACTCAAATGGTTGCAGAAATGGGCTTTAAACATCTGTGGTAAGTGGATAACTCATTATTTCCAGCATGATAAGCTACGTTGGGATGTCCAGATCAATACTAGTCAATGCAGAAGTTTCCTGGTGACCAAAAGATATTAATTACCTAGTCCATGATTACTAAAAAATGAAATATAGTAATAAGGAAGCCTATTACTATATTTTTTATTGACCTGTAGAAAAAATATAGATTTCCATATGTTCCTCTTTTAGAACATGCCGAAGTCGTGAACAACTTTCCAGCCTAGGAATCTCTCATATGATTTTGCCTGCTCTATAGCTGACACAATCCTCATGCTTCCCATGCTCAATGTGGCAGGACCACTTTTCTGCCTTGTTCTATTGAACAACATCCAAGTGATAGAAAAAAGATATGGCTATCGCCACTAATTGTCTTCACCGCTCAAAACACACACTTACATTTGTGTCATTTCTACACTCATCTCTCTTGTCAAAATTTTTTTGGATTAAATCCCATCAGATTGAGCTCTTGTTCAAAACCAAACAACAAAATTCATAATACCAAGGGGTACATTCTGATTAATCCTTTTTTCCTTCTGGTCCTCAAATTCATCTTCTTCTTTAGTTTCATATTAAGATCTGACAACTATCTTTCTTCAAAATGACTAACACTTTTACAGAATAATGATATACAAGTGGCATTCAGAAACATTAGATTTCATGTCAAACAATGTTACAACAAATTGATCAAATTAAACCAACGGAAATTGCAAGATATGGCTGCACGTATCACAGCTCACTTTTCCATGATGATAAAGAAATGGAAGTATGAGGATGACAATGGTGATGGTAACTAAAATCTAAGTCTAGATACTAGAATTTAAAAGAGTTCTATGGTGACTAAGTAATGGTGATGGAAAGCCAGTGCTGCAAAGAAATGTACCATCTCTTGAATTTTCTTTTTCACTTATAGTATACATTGTGATAAAAAAAAAAAAGTGCTAAAACCATGATCATTAAGTATCAAAAATATGGTGGTTACAAATTTGACAATGCAAGAAAGAGAGAAAGACATATTGGCTTATCAGGATGCCGACATCATAATAAGCAGAATTCCCAGACAGGACAACATAAACCAATGGACTAATTTTGTTCACTAAACAGGAAATGAGTGTTACCAACAACAAATTCAGTGTTACATTAACGTTCCGTAATCTACACCATTTAGCACACAACCATCTGATTTATGGATTTCCAACATCGAACAGAATTTATCTACAGCGTCTGTTTCAAAAGAACAAATTCATCACAGAACAGGTAAGCAGAAGTAATCTTTTATTGGATATACCCTACAGTCGACCACAGAAATCTTCATGGTTTTCCTTGCTCGCACACACAAACACTGTGCATACTGGCAAACTGCAGTGGAACTCATCATAGTCCCACTGATTTAATCTTAGTTGCACAAGTCGCTCTCTGGATGAATCAAACCCCAATATGCATCTAAATTATCGACAAACTAACCAGAGATAACCTGAAACAGCGTGAACATTCGGGAGAATGGACCAGAGAACTCCCAATATTACTAACACACAATCCGACGGATCTATGAAGTTCTACAACCCAAAGAACAGGAAATCGAAGAAAAGATCTACATACAAGATATCTAAATCGAAGAAAACGATCCCTCGCTCACCGATCGAGATTTTGAGCCCCGAGATCGGTCTGGGAAGGGCGCCGAAGCGGTTACAAAAAGGGTTCTTCTTTCACCGTGAGAAGGGGAAGATGGCTTAAATGGGCCTGGGCCCGGGCCCATGTGAACCCATGGGACCCACCATTCGGTTGCCCGGGCCCATGTGAACCCATGGGACCCACCATTCGGTTGCTTAATACGTACATACGACCATCTTTGACCAAATGAATTCCAAGTTCTTAGACATCGGTTTGCAGGAACTATAACACGGCACGTACTGTTAAACCAAGACGACATCGTACTCGTACACGTCCGTCCACGCATACGTTTTCTTGCCTCGATTGCCTTTCCAACTAAAACTGTAACGTCCATAGGTCAATTATATTTACTCAGTGGTCTCGAGCAGATACGAAGAACCGTATAATACTGTTGGGAAGATGAAAGGCATGAGACGCATTTCCCAACTTCCCAAAGAAAGAATTCGCAGCAAAAGATGCCCCAAGTGAAAAGAGTGTGGGGTGGAGTATTTTTACTGTGGGTTTGGTGATAACCATATGATATTCCCTCATTTGGCCTTAGTTTAAATGATGAATGAATGAGTCCCAATTATAATACAACCACCTTGGATAGGTGTTGTATTATAATCTTCTCTCTCTGTCATCAACTTTACGTGATGGCCTTCTTATTATCATAAGCCATCAGAAGCCTGAATGAGTGTACATAAGCTGGTGAAATTTCTCTGTGAATACAATATGTTTAGGCTCCCTTTGATGATTGGAGAGCAGCAAGGATGGTCGGCATAAGCGTGTAGGTACCTGAGGAGTCTAAAATACTCTTCGGATGCAATGATGATAGAACAGATTATATAGTTTTATACAGACGAACTTGTCAGCACGCAAAAGGAAACCTGTTGAGACTTCGTGGAGGAGGAAGAAGGTTTCCTTGCCTCATCATCACCATCATCTCGTTTCCCTACTTCTAGTTTGAGCCGCTGAGCTTCCTTGCCTCTTCTTCCAGCCACTATACTTCCTGGAGGACATTGAGCTATCGGTACTTATTTTCATGCCTTTTTTTGTTCCTGTAACTCCTGAAACAAATGTCTCTTGGTGCTTGAAAGATTATTATCCTCAACAAAATGTTGGTGATTCTCTTGAAACAATGCAGATATCCAGTAAGATGTTGGATGAGAATGGCTACTATGATCCCAACCACGGCTCCAACCCCATACAAGCATCCTTGGTTGACAGCCCCAACCAATCTGTCACATACAATGATCACAGCAATGGGTTGGATGATGGCAATATCAAGCTCCCCACCTTCTCCCTCGAGGACCTCTCCCATCATGACAATCTCCCTTCCGAGGATGCAGCTCCGGAGATTGGCCTTGACCACCTGCAACACCCGATCATTTTTGATCTGGATCAAGAGCTACAGAGCAACATCATCGAGGAGGGACCCCCTCCTCCGGTGGAGAGCAACAGATGGGAGCCGTCCATGGAACACATCCAAGAGTCCTTCACCATGAACCACCACCATATCATCTACGAGGACCAGCAACAGGGTGTGGCAGAAGAGGATCTCCAGAACTACGCCATTCCTTATCCCGATCCGCCGTACGCAGTTGCACCCGATCTCTTCAACATCCTGCAGCTTCCGGCGTGCACGGTGGCTCCCACGATGTTTCCTCCCACCGCCTCGATCTCCTTCGGTAACCCGAGCCTTCAACCAGCGTCTTTCTCGTTTGATGTATACAACAACGATGTCCCGGCGTCTCATGACTCAACCCAGCAAATGGGATATCCTCCTCCTCCTCCTCCTCCTCCCCCTCCTCCTCCTCAGTCTCGTTTGCTGAAGGACTTGTTCAGCTCACTGCCACAAAACTACGGATTGTTTTGTGGGGTCGATGAGAGGGAAGCAATGGTAGGAGGAGCCATCGGAGGGGGTAATGTCTTCCAAGAGATGGATTTAAGGCGCTACGATGGCATTGGCTTGGACTATGACCGGAGGGAGATGGGAGGGTTGGGTAAAGGTGAGGGGAAGACTAGCTTCGCCACAGAGCGGCAAAGGAGGGAGCAGTTGAATGAGAAGTACAAGGCTCTAAGGCTCCTCATTCCAAACCCAACAAAGGTATCGGAATCTTAGCTTCGACCTCTCCTTCCTCGCACTATTGCTCTATATCTCTGACCTCCTGCGACACCGTTTCAAGGCCGACAGAGCCTCCATCGTCGGCGACGCAATCGAGCACATCAAAGAACTCCTGAGAACAGTTGAGGAGCTAAAAGTGCTGGTGGAGAAGAAGAGACACGGCAGGGAGAGGAGAAAGATCCTGAAGATGGAAGACGAGGCCACCGCCGACATGGAGAGCTCGTCGATTCGGCCTCTTAGCGTCGAACGTGATGACCCACTGAGCGGCGGACTGAGGAGTTCTTTGCTGCAGAGGAGATACAAGGACGGCGCAGTGGACGTCCGAATCATCGATGACGAGGTGAACATAAAGCTTACACAGAAGAAGAAACCCAACTGCCTGCTTGACGCTGCAAAGGCGCTGGACGAGCTCCACCTCGATCTCGCCCACGTTGCGGGAGGAAACGTAGGAGACCACCATGTCTACATGTTCAATACCAAGGTCGACTTCGCATCATTTCTAATTACCCATTATATGCGTTCTTCTTCCATTATATTACTTGCTGTTTATTGAACTTTCTTTCTTTCTTCTTCTTCTTCTTCTTCTTCGTCGTCGTCGTGCAGATATCTGAGGGGTCTTCGGTGTACGCAGGTGCAGTAGCCAACAAGTTCCTTCGTGTCTTAGAAGGACAACACGGAAATCAACCATGTCCCGTTGCATTCTAGTGCATGTCCTTCGATGTTTGTCCTGTCGTTTCTTGGTTCCCTTACACTGGTAAGAAAAAGAACTGTCCCAATCGGACAATCAATCATGGTATGTTTTATCGACAACAAAGACAATTTGAGTCTGGTGTTTAAGATCTTGACATATTTCATCATCATAAATTCATAGTAACACATTCAAAACAACTATTTTTGGTGGTGGTGATTTGGCCGTAAGATTGTGTTTAGATCCAATTTGATGGGACAAAGACATATTAGCTTGGTATTCTTTCAAACGCATGCGTCTAAGATAGAAGCAATAAATAATATACTCAACAAGCCCTTTCTGCGCAATAATACAATATCCTATATCTTGGGCGGAAAGTGATATACATTATTCTCTAAAAAGAAAAAAAAGAAAAAAAGAGCATTGTGAAATTGATTCGTAATTGATGCGACCATTTAACGAGAATAGATTATAAGACATGATGCGTGTGGATCCGTCGGCGAAGAGGACACAGAACGCACGTAACACGTAAGATCTGATCATCCGATAGGTGTGAACCATTTCGAGAAACTCCTGCCCGTCGGATCCTAATCCGACAGCCCACGATCTCCTCGGTCGTATGAACCACTGAAAGTAGTCGCGGCGAAAGCACCCTCTTCCGGTCGATCTCCATCACACGGCCGTATCACTTGGTGTAGGATAACGTATGTAGTTCATACGGGACAACGACGCAGGAAATGGGAATAGAAAGCCAAGCCAACTCCTGGTTCCGATCCCTCGCGTTTTATTTCTTGCTCTCTTAATCTCCCCGTCATCATCTATTTACTATTTTGAAATAATTACCGTTTGCATTTCCTCTCTTCTTCACCCGTCTCTCTCTCTCTCTCTCTCTCTGATGTGAAGGAAAACAAAAGGAGGAAAAAAAAAGAAGGCGAAAATAAAGAAAGAAAATAAAAGAAAAAGAAAAAGGAACGGAATCTTGGTCCCAGAGGCGGCATCTCTTCGATTCATCGGCGAGGGAGATCGGAGGAGCTCCTTGACCCCAATCGAGGGTTGGGTCGCGGCGGTGTCGGTGGGGGAAGAGGTGACGATGGCGACCTCGAGGAAACCCTAGGTTTGGAGGTCCCGGTCGGTCGAGGATGAGATCTTCTTTGATGTAAATGGAAATTCTGGGTGGGGGTCCTCTCTTCTTGATCGGATCTGTGAGAACCATCACCTGCAGCTGCAAACCGCCGCCGGCATCAGCGGCGGTCAGCCACTCGATCGCCGTCGCGGTCGTGCCGTTTCTAGGGCTTCGTTTTGGCTTTTGGATCGTTTTGTAGGCGTAGGGAGGGAGGAGAGATGGGGGTTTCGGAGGGCGGAGATGGAGGAGGGAGCGGCGTCGATTGCAGTGTCGGGACGATCATCTGGGTGCGCCGCAGGAACGGCTCTTGGTGGCCCGGGAGGATTCTTGGCCCTGAAGAGCTGTCGGTGTCGCATCTCATGTCACCGAGATCCGGGACGCCAGTCAAGCTCCTCGGTAGGGAGGACGCCAGCGTGTGAGATTTCTGTTCTGCTTGTTCATTTATCGACTTCTATGTTGATTTTATTTTTTTCTACTTGTTTTTCTTAATTTATGCATTCCTGTACCCTTCTCTGGATATCAAGAAAAGGTAGCATGGATGAATGCAGTACTTCAAATTTTCATAAATCTCGATTTGGTGTTTTCTTGGCTGATTCTTGCTTAGTATGTTCGTTCTTATGATTCTAATTTTCTCGATATTTATTTGCTATTGTGTATCAAATTTACTCTTTCCACGGTGCTGTGTACTTGCAGTGCCTGATGCGACTCAGTACCTTCCAATTATCTAGTTCCGCTCTAATTTCGCAATCTTTTTATATGAAATAAATTCAAGCCAGCCTGTGGACCAATTGTTTTCCTACAGAAGAACTCTCACAATTAGGAACTCAACTGAGGCCTAGAGTTGGTCACCTACGGGATGGGTTGAAGCTAAATCAAGTGGTAGCTAGGAAGCTCTTTCTTCACCGTGGAAGCATTATGTGTCCATGCAGTTAGAATCTGCATGTCATCGATAACATGCTGTTTTCTGAACAAAGTAACATCACTGCTGTGGGGTTCAGGTTATGCTTCCTGGGTATTGTGTGTTAGAAGAGATGGTTAAGCTTTAGAGATGGATGACTTTTTTTGTTCAATTTTTTCTGCTATCATATAAACTTTAGCTCTCATCGATGGGAAAGTAATTCTGTGAAATGCTTTTCCTTGGACTTTCCTTTGGCATGAACTTTCATCCACTGAACCTGATTCTTTTAAGGTGGAGAGAGCCCTACACTGTTAAACAGGAGCAGGCACAAGTAGCCTGAGCATTGGACATCCATATGCAAGTTTATTATTGGGATTATATGGTTGAAATTTAACATTTATAGGATCTTCGAAAATGTTGCAATTTAAGGTGTTTGACCATTTGATTATTATATGAAAACTGGACACTCGGGTTATAAACTCAATATGTCTCTAGCATTATTTTCTTCATTTGCATCTTCTGTTGTGTTTTCTCACCCTTGAAAAGGAATGTAGAATTTAGTGCGGACCATGATCCCATTGATTTTCTTTATAATTTTCTATTAGCCTCTAATTCCTGATATAGTTGTCACCTCATCTAGATTGTTCTAATGATCATTCTGATTTTTCAGAAACAAGTATTGAAGACAGAATGACAAATTATATAGTAGCCGTCCTATTTCTAAATTCTGGAGAAGTTGCCTATGTTGGTTAGATTTTCTTGTATTTGAACCAAATACTTCATTTCTATTTTATAAAACCACACTATGAACTAGTAATTATACATTTAACTATAAACAAGTAGTCTTTTCCTGAGTACCTTGTGTTGGCTTTACAAATTTTTTGGCTAATTAATATTCCTCAGTGGCGCTACTTCTTGTGTAACAGCAAGATTTTACATGTTTGCTTGTTTTTCTTTAACATTTTTTTAGGTTGTTACTTTCTGATGTATCTTATTATCGTATTTTTATCAGTGCACTTCTCCAGCATCTTGGTTGCTGATAACTTGTCCATAAGGAATGTAACTTTGGTAACTAATACCATTTCTTTTGTCCTTTCCACATCCTCAGATCTCCATCTCAGAATTCTTATACTAGTACACCAATCCTGATTATAACTCTAAATCGACCATTTATACTTCTCATTCATCTCAATTATAAATAATAAGGATTAAGCTAAATCGTATCCTTTATTGCTCATTGGTTGTGTCCTTGACCATAAGCCAATCTTGTGGATCATAATCCTATGTGCTAGGCCAATCCAGAAAGTATGCACCTTGACTTACATTGTCATGCTTTTGCTGAATTATTGATTTGCATGGCATTCTTTCTTGCTCATATCGTGTCACTCCATTTGTCCCTGAAATCTGCTGCTTTATTATCTTTATACTTGACCATAATATAACAACCACACTACATTATGCTGAAATTCCATTTGTTTCATATTTAACATCGATCACATATTCAAACCTGCCAAATAACTTTTTTTTAGCAATCTTACCCTTTTTTCTTTCACTTCTTTGTTAGTTTCGTATCATAGTTTAAAATATTATCTGTACCAATTATTTACTGACCCGACAGACACTTGGGACATGAACTGAGTGATTTCACCTTGTTCAGTGTGAGCTTCACCAACTTACCATACTGACTTATCTGACTATCAGCAGACCGTACGAACTATACAGATGGTAAGCCTACTGCTTGGTTTGAAGTTCTTGACAGTTTTTGTAATTGTCTTATCCTTTGTTTTTTTGTTTTTTCTCTTTCTTTCTTCTCTTCCCTCTACCACTGTGATGTAGAACAAGGTAGAGAGAGGAGAGTAGTAGAGAGAAAGCAGGAGAGCAAGATAGCAAGAGAAGAGTGTAAGAGACTAGAAGAGAGAAGATTCAAGCCTTTTTTCATTTGAATCAGTAGTGTTTGATTCATTAACAAGCTCCACTATTTATAGTGGTTTAGGAGCATTGGTATAATTAATGAATATAATAATTCCCAAGAGTAATCTACCAAGGAATTAATATGATTTTTAGAAATCTAAAATGTGACTTCTAGGATACTTAAATAATAAGCGAGTGCACTTAATATAAAAGGAGTTCCTAGAAAGCAATGATTTAAAAAACGCTAGGTTCTAAGGTTCCAAAACGCCCGAGGCGCTCTAAAATATTAAAATATAAAAAATATATAATATAATTAATAAATATTATTACTTAAATAAAAATATTCTATTAAATTAAAACAAAGATTAGTAGTGTTAAAATCTAAATAGTGTATTATTAATCTAATAAATAAAGATTATTTTGAATAGTAACTAATAATATATTGTTAATAGTATATTTACTGTTAACAGTAGTAGGGAAGAGTAGAGACTGAAGAAGTCGCGGTGAGAAGCCGAGTTGCAGGCAGCAGACAACACCAGAAGCTGTAGAGTCGCGGATAGTAGGAGGTAGCAGACAACAACGATAGTGGAGTCGCGGATAGCAGGAGGCAGCGGACTGCAACAACGACAGTGGAGTCATGTCGCGGATAGTAGCAGGCAATGAACAACGGCAGCGACCAGCAGCGAAAGCTGAGGAGACTCGGACGACGACAAAGGAAGACTTGGAGGCAACGAGAGAAACCATTGGCGGCGGAGGTAGAGGGAGAAATCGTCGATGACGGAAACAAAGAGAGAAGCATGCGTAGGGTTGGGAGTCGGGGTCACGTGCTGATATAACTGCATGCGTTAGTTGGTTCAATTGGGCCTCGCTCGAAGCGCCCGACGCCTGGGCTTGGGCGAGTGCCTAGGTGGCGCCTCATTGAAGCATGTCGCTCGGCCCTTAAACGAGGCGCTCGGGCCTCGCCTTGCCCGAGCACTTAGGCAAGCACCCGAGCGCCTTTTTAAATCACTGCTAGAAAGACCAAAAGACTTTTTAATTTTCAACACAACTCTTGGAATTTCTAGGCGAACTAATTGATGACTTTTTTGTTGATATCTTTGTCTTGAATAAACTTTTTTGAGATCCTTTGCAAAACTCGATGGTTCTCCATCATTCTCCCTCGATAAAAAAGAACTTGACCCCGGAGAGTGATATGCAAGGTACTGGTCCAATAAGTCTGCT